AAAAAAATTTGTTTTTAAAAACTAAAAATGGCATTCAAGTTTAACAGTTCTGCAGGAATACTTCGCACTCCTCTTCTTTGCTTCTAAAAACACATGCTAAATTTATGGGTAGAATTCAGCCTTTGAGCATAATTAAGCAGGCACGCTCACATCAAAGCTTTGTTTCATCATCTTTAGGCTGATCTGCCGGACAGCCGGTCCTTATTAAACACCCTTTAAATGTTGCAGTTTCAAGTAAGTAACATCCATGTTATATTAACATTACCAAGTAATTAACTAAGAAAAGCTAGCATCAGCTAACCACGACAGCTTAACATCCTTTCAGCCGTGGACTATAAAGAATTAATCTGTTAAAGCAGAACTTGTTCTTAAATAAATGTCTCAAGAGTTTAAATTAACAAGTCTGCTCCAGCAGTTTTCATACTTGTACTTAGGGAAAAGCAGATTTTGAGGGAAGTAAGGCAGGGAGTGGAGTTCAGCATCTAAAGTAAGGGACGCATTCTGGAGAGCAAATCAATCAAATCTGTAACAGTTCCAAGTGACTCCAACTGCAGAAACCCTGTTAAGTCAACAGCTGATGCATTATCACCATATTCAGATTGCCTAGTTCCATGCAAACACATAAGGAAATAGACAATTTTGTTGGAAATAGACAATTTCATTGTTAATACTGAGAGTTAGTTTCAATTACATAAACATATGTTTCCATATTTTTTCCCCTAGGTCATGTATTTGGATGCTCATTCTGAAAACACAGCATTAAACTGTAAAGCCTCACAGTTTCTGAGGAAACAGTCATCTGTGACTTTAAATATGAACACATTTATGCTACTTTGTGCATTTTTAAAATCATTTAAATAGGCAGATTGTCATCAACACTTTTTGACACTAGAGTAGGAACGGGGTCTCATTCTCTGCTACATTTTTCAATTAATGAAATTCAAAAGAAAACCCCAAAACAAACCCTGGAAGGACCCTGAAGCCAAACTCTAACCAAACAAAAGTGATACAGATGCCTACCTGCATGACTGACCATGCCTGCAAAGCCTTGAACTCAACATGTTGCATTGCATCTAATCACAGCACACAGGAAGCTTTAAGTGACACATCTCATCAATTCTGAAATGCTATCACATTGTTCTGGATGCCAGGGAGAGAAATCCATTGATTCTATAAATTCCCAAAAAATGGCACATAGGGAACTGCTGCCATCTGCTCTGCAGAGCTTTAAAGCAGCTCTGGAACTGTCTTTAGATTAAAGAACACCCTGATGGCATACATTAACACCTTGACCATGCTCCATCTTAGGGCTGTCTTCTGCCTAATAACTTTTAAAATTTTTAAATACTCTGCACGAGAAAATCTGGGGTTTTTTAACTGTTGGGAAATAACATGAAATAGAAGGGAGAAATTTGAAGTTTGGTAATTTCTAACCATTTTACAGGGTATTTTTCCTCCAAAATAAAGTTCCCAAAACATGTCCTCAGCTAGGAAAAGTATTTCTGGATGACCTACCTCTGTGCCTGGTAGATTCCTAACTGTGGAGAAGTAGAAGTCTGCTTTGGTATGCTTGAGGAGATAAATGTAGGGACACAGCAGCATGAGCCTAAAGAATAATGAGGCAGGCAGAGCTCCCAATAGTGGAACAGTAGGAAATCTTCAGTGTCTCTCCTCTGAAGTGAAAAGGAAATACAAAGTTCCTTCCATAAAGGGCACAGAAGGGGACACAGGGAGTTTCAGGGAGAATGCCTGGGAACAGAGCCCTCCAGCCTGAGCAGCTTTGCTTAGCAGAGCAAAGGAAGGTACAACTCTCTGCTAACGAGGAGGGGAGGGCTGGTAAAATGCTGGATTATTTATTCCTCCTCATCATACAGTCACATTAAATATAAGCTTTGTGCTGAACACGATTTAATGCCAGGAACTTCAGAGGAATTAAACATGAAAAAATTTACTCATGTGTATTCCCATTAGAATCTACAAAACAACTTGAGAGTGAAGTTGCTCATGTGTTTAACACTGAATAAATGAAATCTGAAATAAATTCAAATCATCCTCAGATCACACATCTGTCTTCTCTGTGCACCTCGTGGCTTGTTTACAGCATGAGAAAAATTCAGGGTCTACTTTTCCAGAATAGCTCTCCATATGGACACACAGATTCTAGATTAAAACAGGCCCTTCTCTGAACTACTTCTATTCTGGATAAAGGTATGCATATGAGGTCCTAAGATCATCCATATGGAAAACTACTTTGCAATACTATTCTACTTTAAGCAAATGTGTACCCTAATGTGAAATAATATTAGATGATGTAATGCATCAAAATTTCTATTAAACATCAATGAAAGGAATCCTACACCAAGCAAAGTCAATCCAAATTCTACAGTCCTGAACCCACTGAAATCTGATAATTCTTAGCCATAGTAATGCTACTTGTCCTGGTATTAATTGCTTTCCTGCTACACACATGTAGAGTTTGCAAGACAAATGCCAGTGTATTACCAGAGAAGATGCATAATACAGGCTATAAATAGATTTTGTGATGGAAATTGTAAAACAAACAAAAAGTCACATCTAGAATGTGATTTAGTTTTTAGTTTTGAAAACATTAGATATTAACAGTTTCAGGAGCTATGAATAAAGCCAACAAATAGTTCCTCATCAAATTCTTTTAACCATAGTCCAGTAATATGCTCTCATTAAGTCAGTTTTTTACTGCTACAAAATATTGAGGATACTTAAAACTGTATTTTGCACAGTGAAAGAAACTTGTGCATTACTTGTGCATGTATGTATATTACCTCTGTGTATATGGAGAAAAATAGAACACAGATTCTCAAAAATAACACTCAAATGATGAAAAAAAGATTCACCATAGGGAACTGCAACTCACATTTACAATTTTAGCAGAGGAGAATACCCAATGTGCATGTATCTAAATGCACATACAAACCCAGCTAGCTACATTTTATTTCTGCTTGAACAACCATTAAAAGTTAAATTATACACTTTTAGATTATTTATGCCCTCAATTCAATCACTTCATTTAATGCAAACTAGACGTTTTTACTTTCTCTATATAAAATGTTAAGATTTATTCATGCCCTTAACACACATTAATTAGACACTACTTATAAATAACCTGCAATAAGAATAACTATTTGAATAGGATACAATTACTTAGGGCTTGTGTCTTTTCAATCAGTCAGTGTCCCTGCAGTGTTTAGAGTGGCAGAGGGGAAGTGGCCTGTGGTTAAACAGAGGAAATACCAAGGAATTTTAATAGAGCAAATAGTCTCTTTACTTCCTACAGGGTACTACTTCAAAGGCAGCCCTGCTCCAGAGCAGACAATGTGTTAGAGGGGCCATCAGTCATTTAATAGCATGTCAAGTCTACTCAGAACTTACATGCAGCCCAAGATAAATACCACAGAACTGAGACAATGGGTACCATCCTGCAGTCATTACTCTAATAAACGCTGCCCTGCCGGCAGTACGGAGGCAATCGTGTGCAAGGGTGGTATTGCGAAATCAGACCACAAAATTATAACTACACAATCAGACAAGGTATCTCATAAATTGGCTAGGGAAGCCTGAACTTGAAGCTGAAAATACAATAGAACAAGAAACTAGTACAAATATTTTAAAAGCTAAAATGGTACATTAGTTGTGAGCAATAAAGACAAAGGGGGGGTTATGCTAATTGGAAAGAATGTAAGTTTTCCTGATTTAAAAGTCAGTCAAAATCATTGTATTAAAATAATTACGTTGTGATAGATTCCTGTTTGACACACACAATGACATTATGTAAGCAAAAAAATAAATCCAGAACAAACTGCATTTGCATATTTCTATGCAATACACATTAATTCAAGTGTATTACGAGTCAAGTACTATGACTTGTAAAAGTGATAAATTTACTTAATAGAAAACGGAAAACTTGACACAAATATACAGAGGTGTTATGAGCCTGCTGAGTACCCTGCCCATGTCTGGTGAAACACAATAGACGGACCGAGCCAAAACATTTCATTGCTAATTCTGCTAAAAAGACCAAACAGGGGAGTCTAAACCTGTAACTGCTCCATCCAACACAAAGGTTTAGATCTTAAGCTTTACCAGGGTTTGAAGTTTGTTTTTTCACACTCTCCTTTTACATATTTCCCGATGCTTTCGCCTTTCTAAACTATGCCCTACAAACTTCTGAACTCTGTGTTGCAGCAACGTTCTCAAAGGATCTGATCTGAGCCCAGGAAAATCCTTAGTGACAGTCTAACAAAAAGGAAAAGCAATGAAAGTCAGTTGTGTTCCCTCCAGCGTTCCCGGATCACCGCGCTTCAACTAAACCTGTAACCAGCCATCAGGAGAAAGGACAGGAACGAACCAAAACACACAACTCAAAAGTTGTTAGAAGTATATATAAAAAAAATGAAAAATAAAAAGAATATGAAGAGCAATCGAGAAAAGACACCAAAACACACCAGAAAGGGGGAACAAAAGGCAAGGACCAGTAACAAAACGTTTATCACCTTCCTCCCCTCTTCCCCCTCCCGTAAATTTCCTACATCCTCTGTATAATGATCAGGCCCGGAGCTAAGACCCCAAGCCGGCCTCGAATCATTAAAATAACAAAGCCCCAGCGATCGCTTTTATCCAGGTCGGCTCGGGGAAGCAGGGAGCTGGTAAAGGACCTGTTGAGTGACTTCTTCACACTCGCCGGCTGCGAGCCGCCTCTGCTCTGGGCGAGAAACCCATAAATATCCCTGGCCGGGAAATGCCACCCTCCCTCCCGGCCGCAATTAACTTCCAGCTGCAGAGCCCCGGGGCAGCGTTACTTGTTGCAGAAGTGTCCCCAGGGCAGTGCTCCAGCCCTCGGTCCCGCACGCCCGGAGCGGCCGCAGAGCCCCGCGGAACCCCCGCGCCTTGCGAGAGCCCCGTGCCCGCCGCGGCCGCTGCGCGGGGAGCGGCAGCTCCGCTCTGCCCCGCTCCGCTCCACTCACCCTCCCCGCGCACGCATCGGCCGCCGGGCCCCTCCTGCCGCCGGCCGCTCCCGCAGCGAGCCGGGCAGCACCGAGGCAGGCGGCGAGGGCCAGCAGGACGGAGCCGAGCTGCAGCCCCGGTGCCATGGTCCGCAGCGAGCCCGGCGGGCGGCGGTGCTGCCGCCGGGTGCGTGCCGGTCTGTCGGTCTGTCCGGGTCTGGCTCCGACGCTCTGTGTGTGTGTGTGTGTGTGTGTGTGTGTGTGTGTGTGTGCATGCGCGCCCGGCCCGGGGGCGGGGGGTTCGCCCGAGCCCCGGCCCCGCCGCCCCCGCCCCGCTCCAGTCCTTGCGAACGGCAACAATGGGAGGGAGCTGAACCCCTTCCGGCTGCTTTGCTTTGCACCCTGCCCTTCCCGGGCAGCCCCCGCGCTCCCCGGGACACCGGCGGGCTGTTCCTGCCTTCCTGCCTTCAAACCAGAACCGGGCCGATCCCATCTTCGTTCCGTGCTGCGGTACCACATTCCTGATCCACTCACTACATTGCAAGGAACAGAGGTACCAAGGAAGATCAGTCATAGATCTTTGACATGATTTCATACATCACAGAATCAATTAGGTTGGAAAACACCTCTGAGATCCTGAAGAGCCATGTCCAGTCTTTCCTTAAACACTTTCAAGGGACAGTGACTCTTCCATCTCCCTGGGCAGTCCATTCCAAAGTCCGGTCACCCTTACTGCGAAGAAATTCCTCCCAATGCCCAACCTCACCCTCCCCTGGCACAGTTTAAGGCTGTGTCCTGTTACTGCCTGGGAGATAAGACCCCATAGGCTACAACCTCCTTTCAGGTAGCTGTAGAGGGTGATAAGGGCACCTCTAAGCCTCCTCCAGCCTAAACACCATCAGCTCCTAAAGCTACTATTTAATTACTTTTTAATTAAGGAAGACAAGCTGGAAGAATATACTATCATAAAATTTTCAATTGTTGAAAATGCAAAGGAAGTCATAAGTGGCAATAAATATTTCAACTTTTTCAACTGGAGTTAATTCTGACATTACATGCTTTGATGAAAACACTTTTCTTTAAAATAAAATAAATCACATTTCTGATAAATATCAAATGCAAGGTGGTCTAATATATCGGTAAATGACATCAATTTCCTCCTCTTTTTCTCAAAGTCGTGTAAGAGACAGAGTGGCCCAAGGCTCCTCCAAGGCACAGGACAATTCAGCTTGGAAGAGACCTCAGGGGTCACTAGGCCTAACCCCCTGCTCAAGGTAGCCCTGACTTCAGTTTCAGATGAGACAGCCCAGGGCCTTGTCATACATCACTTTTACAGATCACTTAACTCCAGTTATTTTGAAAACCTTGATTTTAGTACATTCTGTTTGCTCTGATTGATCTTGGACAAAAATATCATCCTAATGGAACAGACAAACCCATCAGTATTTTATAAAAGACACTAGAGTTTGGATTAAAATAGTATGTAAAACCACCAACTAAGGCAATCAGTTGAAAGGAAACATGACCAGCTGGTAATTTTTAACTACTATTGGTTTTGCACCTATCATAGGTTTTCCATCTTTTGTGACTAGTGGTGAAAATAATATGATAAAGCTTTCTTAAACTGTTTGTTTAAGTTGATGGGTCACAGCCCTGGCACTCAGAGTTACCTTTGAAAACAGGATTGTGACTTTAGGATGGCTATTGCCCTCCATTGTGACATGAACAGAAATTATATTTTTTACATTAAACATTTTTTTGGCAAAAATTAGAGATTAGGCCATTGTTATTTGCTGCTCTGGGATCAAAAGGTTCTTACTTTTGATCTCCCTTTCCCCTGCAGGCTGGAATTCTGAAAAAGGTAATATTAAGTCTCTAGGTGGAATTCCACTGATTTTATAATGAGATGTTTTTGATGGCCCAGGCCAAAATGGAAGTTTAGTACATTTTCTCATTGTACACCACACATTTCTGCCTGGGTACTTTCTCCTTGCATTACTCAGAAGTTGTCTAACAGGCTTGAAAACTATATGAGCATTTTTATTTTTAATCAAGTCAGGCTGCATAAAACCTGTAAATAACTAGTCCTTTTATGTTTGAATGAATTACAAAGGACATAAACTACCACAGCATCCTGGCTAAAGAAAGGAAGACATATGTACAGTTCATTTCCAGGTCAGTAAATACCTCTGCTTCCCATAACCACCTTTGACAAGTGAGGATTCCCTGTTGGACGAAATGCCATAGATCTGCAATTAAATCTTCTAAACCATGGGGAAACTGTTTGGCTTTTTCTGTTAACTGAGATCTAGACTGCTGGAGAAGCTGTAATTTTTAAGTGAAGAAAAAATGAGCATTATCTGAGCTATTGATGCATTGATGCATACATGCCTATGATGTTTTTAACAAAAACAGACACACAACAAATAGTGCCAATGCCTTCTAGCAGAACAACTGTAGAACTCACACGTGCCACTGTTACACTGGCAGTGTCCAGAAAGCAGCAAAAGGATGGGTCATATTTACTGAGAGCTCAAACCTAGCAGCACTGATGCCATCAGACAAAACCAGCACTGATAATTCCTTCCCAACACTTCAGCCTAAGCTAATAACAAATGACACATCTGAAAGACAATTCCTCCATGCTGCCACCATGTCCAGCCTCTCCTGTGAGTGCACTGGCTGAACACTGAAGTATTGCATTGCCTCAGATCCATTTAGAATAATTTCCACTGAATTCTTTGGTGGAAAACAGTAGTGGAGAGGCAGGAATCAAATGACTGCAGTTAATGTTTCTAACTGGAGTCTCCAAACTGCTGTGAGCTCATGGAAGGGCAAAAGTGGCTGTGGAGACTCTGCTTGTCTGTAGGTTCCTTTGTCCTTTTTACAACAGCCTCTTGTTTCTGAGTAGTATAGAATGCATAATACCCAAAAGTCATGGGTATCAGTATCCTGCATTCTACAGCTGGTTTTGGTTGCCACTCTCCCATCTTGCTTAAAGCTAAAAATCTGGCGGTTTTTTTTTCCTTCTCCTTTCTGAGCAGCTGTTCCCAGATGGAGGAGACAGTGAGAACTCAGCAATTCCTATAAAAACATGGAAACTCATGGAGTAAAAATTTCCAGCAATATGGTTAAAAACTCCCTACAAAATCTTTCTATTGCTCAGAGAAAATTCATTCTTGGATTTATGCTCCATCCATAGTTCATATTTCTAGCACTGAATTCTCTCCCAAGAGAGGCCTGACCTTAACTGCAAAAGAAGTCATTCAAACAGCTCCCTTTGGGGCAGAAAGGGTGCATCAGGCTTGCAGAGTATTCAGCTAAGTCAGACAATCATGGCTATTGCAATATCACAATATTGCAGTAAGTCAATAATTCCTGTTACAGACAGACACTGCCCACTGTTAGGAAAGGAGCATCAGATGCAGGGAACCAAGCAGACAATGTGCTAAAAGAGATCCCAGAACAGAAATCCCTCAATGTGAGGGTCTGCTGGAACTTCATCCAGCAGATCTTTGAAGACAGAAAACCAGATCTTTTGAAAGCAGCCATTTACATGAAATTGTCCCACTTCCATGGGGATGGTTTATCTATGGGATGAGCACGGAGCATAAAATAGAGGAAGAACCATCCTCCATGATCAAACCTTAGGAACAAAACTAACAAGTGTGAAATGGATGTGGGCACTCCCAGCAAGGGCATGAAAATTTCCACCTGTGTCAGAGGTCACAAAAATTCTGTTTCCATGGAATCTTCTGTATTATAGCATGCCATAGTTTCAAATGATCTGGCCAGGCTCAAGTGAAAGGTTATCAACTGATAAGAAAACAACCTCAAGCCATAAAATTGAACTGAAACTTGAATCAAATCTATCAATTGTTATGAACACCCATCTTATCAAGGCAAATATTACATCATTATGCCTTGAGAAATGTGACAAAAATTCATGAAACACAGAGTTCTCAAAGAAAAATCTGTATTACCAGTCTCATTTTATAGATGGGGAAACTAAAGCACCAAGTCATAAAGATGCCTGCTTTTATGTCTTGCACACATGCTCAGGGCTAAACCAATAATTAGATTTGGAGTCAGGAAAGACTCTGTGCCTCAGTTAGACAGGAAAAGAGCCCTGTGTGTAGCATTCTTTGGTTTTAATTTGGTGCTGTCTGTAGAGACATACTCCACGTGCTGAGGTCATCCAGGCAGTACCAGTGGGTGAGAGCCTCCAGAATTCCACTGCAGTGGTGCTGCTCTCTCAGGAGTGGCAAAGAGCTCCCAGCAGGCTGTGCTGGCTGCCAGCTGCCTCCTGCTGGGGCCACACCTTTACTGGCACTTCTGCAGGAGCTGCTGCTGAGGCCAGATGGGAAAGTGGAATTGCATGCAAGAATTCTACTTTGACACTGCCAGCCATTTCCAAATCCAGATGCTTCGCAACAGGTCCTGAAATGGAGCATCCAGTCCTCCCTGCTGCCTAAGCCAGACCTCCAGAATCCCACAGAGTTTCTCTCCTGCTCACATTTTTGTTTTTTTTGTCACAGTGTCATGTTTGAGATTTTTCTCAAAAAACTCAGGTCCATCTCCAGATATTTGGGGATGTTTTGAGGCTTGTAGAGTTCAGAGAGAAGGGAGTGAATGGTCTTGTGACCTTTCTGGATGACTTAATCTCTTCTACAGGAAATTGCACTTAATGACCAGGGAAGTTGAAGTCCTATATTCCTAGAGGCTCAAGTCAGCATCAGATGTAGCAGTATGTTATGGTGAAAAGGAAATGACTGAACTAAACCAAACAGCTATTATATGAAAATTACTTCTGATCACCATCAAATTAGCAATTTGTCAGTGATCCATGGATGCAAATCTTCATATAATGTTACCCCTCCCCAGACCTCACAGTTCCCTGTATTGTATAGATGCCTCCTCTTTCTACTGTCAGAAAATGTTTGCAGTCAAATGTCTGATTTCTGTATTTCTGTTTATTTTGTATCTGTTTATTCACATGAATATAATAAAGGAAGTTCTCTAAGATAATTCAACTTAGTGATGTGCCACCGAGCACACTCCTCCCTGCTCCAAAAGCATCCCAAAGTGAC